TCTCTAGATTTTGATATATTTGACCCATTCCTTTCTTTAAAAAAAAAAATTGAAAAAAAAGAATAACTACTATCCCCTACAAAACTATTAATATGAGGTGGTAAAACAACATCTGAGCTATCATTATAGTATATATTAGTTACTCAGATTTCAAAATATCAGCTCATTTTATTCCTGTATCTGACCAGACTTTCTAATAGCAACTATTTACATAGATTTGGGTTTGGTAAAACTACGTATTTTATACATGATGAAAAATTATGAGAGAAGTTTTTGAGACATGATTTCAAAAATAAAACAAAATAATTCATGAAAGAAGTCTTCACTGTTATCTAGTATAACATTCCCACCATACAAGGAGGGGTGTAAGTTTCATGAAAATTAAATATTGACCAAACTCAATAGTCTAATGGCAGAGCAGAAATTTGAACATCACATTACTTTGTTTTGCTTTTTCTGAATCTAGTGATTAGTGGAGGAATAACAAAGGGACAGAGGTTTTTTCATTAATAAATTCTTTGAGAAGTAGGTGGCCCTTTCCTTCTTTGACTGGGCAAATCTTCTGCAAATGATCTCTTTAAAGTGTTGGCAAGCAAAGATGTCTCTTTGAAAACTAAGTTATGCCTAACCCAAGCCATAGTGTTTTCAATCATCTCATATGGATGTTAAAGCTGGACAATGAATAAGTAAGACTGAGGAATTAATGCTTTTCAGTTTTGGTGTTGGTGAAGCACCATGGACTTCCAGAAGAACTAACAAATCTATCCTGGAAGAAGTGTAGCCAGAATGCTCCTTGGACACGAGAATGGCCAGATTTGTCTCACCCATTTTGGTCATGTTGTCAGAAGGGACCATTCCCTGGAGAAGGATTTCATGCTTGGCAAAGCGGAGGGTCAATGAAAAAGGAGAAGGCCTTCAACAAAATGGATTGACACAGTGGTTGCAACAATGGGCTCAGGTACAGCAAGGATTGTGAGGCTGGCACAGAACCGGGCCGTGTTTTGTTCTATTGTACAAAGAGTCACTATGAGTCAGAACCAACTTGACGGCACCTAGCAACAACAACAAAGGGACATCCTCTTTGAATGGAGTACCAAAAACTAAACCCACTGCCATCCAGTTGATTTGGACTTATAACGACCCCCACTGGATTTCCAAGGCAGTAAATCATTAAGGAAGTAGATTGCCCAGTATTCCTTCTGCAGAGTGGCTGGTGGGTTTGAACCGCCAATGGTCTGGTTAGCAATGCCTTAGGTATTGTGCCACCGGATCTCCTTAGGAGTCATAAAATGACTACTATTGTCCAGGAATAGGTCTTACATGATTTATAATTTAAAAGTTGGTAGGAGTTAGTAAAACTGAACAAACAAACAACAACAAAATAATGCATTGATGTGGTCACTGGAAGAAATGAGAAACTTCCAAACGGTTGTTCCATATTTCATTGTTTTTTTTTTCCCTACCATGGCTTTTAAGAGTAGTGAAAGAAGCCAAGGAGATTTGAAGATGTAATGGAAAACACCATTCTTGTGGCCTATAAATATGAAGAAAGAGTATATGCCAAGTATAGTGCCACATCTTAACCTACTACTGTATCAAACTGTTATTTCCAAAATATTTGTTTGAGATAAATGTCATTTATATGAGTTGGCGTCATATTTTTCTTCTGCACTGAATTCTTCTGCATTGAATTACCTTTCACAATTATATAGATGTCATTGAACAATGGCTAAATACTGAATAGTTAATTCATATTACTCTGAACCATAATAAATATTTATACATCTGACTTCATAGTGTTAACTCATATTCTAACTTACTTATAAAATGAAGTGACAAATTCAATGATTAGGTCAATTAGTTTGAGATACATGATAAAAAACAAATTAAAAATATTTTATCTTTAATTTTATACCAAACCTTCCACATTATTTCAATATATTTTTATTAAGCACCTATTCTGTGTAAATATTATCTGAGTTGATATGCAAACAACAATGCAACACACTGTCATTGCGTTGGATCCAACTCATAGAGACCATTCCTGGGGTTTCTGAGGTGGTATCACTACAGAAGTAGACTGCCAAGCCTTCCTTCTGAGGAGTGGCTGGTGGGTTTGAACCACCAGCCTTCTTGTTAGCAGTCAAATGCCTTATCAAATAAACTCATAAGAATTAATTGTTAGGTAATACTGAAAACTAGGTTTAGAGCAATTAGTGTCAGGTTTCTAAATTTTTATTTAATCATTGATCTTGAGTATTTACTGACATGAAAGATCAAAAATATGTTTATTATATGTGATATTCTTTACTATTAGCAGCTAAAATATTTGACATTATGAATCCACAATGCTTTTTTAGTGAACACTATTGTTGTTATGTTGTTGTTATGTGCCGTCGAGTCGGCCCCGACTCACAGCGACCCCTCCTTGGGTTTCCGAGGCAGTTATCACTACAGAAGTAGGATTGCCCAACCTTCCTTCCGAGGAGTGGCTGGTGGGTTTGAACCGCCAGCCGTCTGGTTAGCAGGCAAGTGTCTTAGCCACTATGCTACCAGAGCTCCTATTAGTATACTGGATAACACTACTTGGACTACTTTAAATTCATCATCTTATATAAGATATTGACATAGATAACCCTCTCTAACGTTTTGATGATTGTCATAGTAACATATGCTTTCTTATTTTCTCATTTTTTCTTATATTTTCGTGCCAGAGGCCATGGATGAAATTTAATATTACCAGTCACTTCTGAAAAAAATGGTGTCACATATTTGAATTATCCCCCACTCTCACTCCATCATCCTCTACCTCTCTTATTAATCTAGATAAATTTACTTTCATAGTCTTTCTCCTCCATTAAATTATAAACTCCACTCCATGGGATTAGAGATCTTGTCTCTTTTGTCCACTATTCTATCCCCAGAATCTCTAGACCAGTGTGTTGCACAAAGGGAAAATATAATACTTAGTAAATACTTGTTAATTGAATAAATGATTTCATGCAAAGCCAGGTTTTATCCCTCTCCTTGGGGTTGTTTCCAGGGATTGATTGTATTTTGAGACACTACAGTGAGACTTCAGTAGCTTTCAAATTTTTACGTTTATGCCCCACAGAAATACCATTTACATCTCCACGTGTGTGTGTATCTGAAACAAAATAACAATGAAACAATATTTTACCTTATTATATGCCATGCACTCTGATAATTCAATTTCTATTCTATTACATTCCATTCTATTTATTTAAAAAATAATTTTGGACTCGTACATCTGTAGTCTGTAAAATACTGATTTACACAAAGGAGCCAATATAGATTAGTCTCTGAGTATTTCCAATGGACAAATTCATGCATCCTAACCAGTGTTTGGGGAGTATCATAAATTGTCAAATCTGTATTTTCCTGAACTTTCTATCCTTCTCAGAAGCTTCCAGTTTGCCTTAGTTTTCATATTTAGGCTTTCTGCAGTTGGAAAGTCTTGAAAAGAGACTGAAAAATTTTCTTCTAGATCTCATTCCTGACAAGTTGAGATATTGTTAATTTGGATCAGGATCCAACCACAAACAAGGCAATATGCTAAAATTATTTTATATACTCTTCCCCAAAATCATCAAAAAATTATCTTTGTTTTGTGAAGAAACTGGTTCAGAAAGCTCTAATTATTTGGCCAAAGTAACAAAGCTAGTAAGCAGCAGAGTCCAGACTCACTCTTGTTACAAATACAGTTCCCTAGCTTGGAGAGATAGATGCATGATGTACAGATTCCTGATACCCAGATTGTCCCTCTAGACTGACGAGCTTCCAAACACTTAGAGTGGGGAAGATCCCAAAGATGTATAAGTCCACTGCCTCTTCCTATGGACTGTAAAGTCAAAGGAATAAAATATTCTCAATTTATTCACTTTGCCTGGGCTATCTTTCCTCAACTCTATTTCCACCTCTAGCTTCTTCTACCGTGAAAGGGGTACCAGGGGCATATCAAACATCCTTGATTTATTGATGGAAAGCACTTTGATACATGCCACCACTTGGGCCCATCACAACAGCCCCTGGAGACAGCTGAGATTCAGTTGCCCCGGAGTCAAGTCTGACTCATTGAAACTCCATGTGAGATAAACCTAAACCAAAATCACTGCTAGAAGGGATTCTGACTCATAGTGATCCTATGGGACAGAGCAGAACAGCTCCATAGGGTTTCCAAGGCTGTAAATCTTTATGGAAGCAGATCACCACCTCTTTCTCTCACAGAAGAGCTAGTGAATTCAAACTACGAACTTTCTGCTAGAGCCAAGCACTTTAACTACTACTTCAGCAAAAAAATCTCATATAGTATAAGAGGAATGGCTTTTTTTTTTTTTTTAAATCCCCCTGAGGATTATCAAGGACTCAACTAATATCCCAGCAGCTGGAGCCCAAAGGAGAGTTCAGAATTTGTGCTCCTTTGTTATTGCTTTTCCCACCATCAACACAGTGACATCATGACTCAGTAGACTCTAATTTTGGTTGTTGGAAGATAAACACCCCCAATTCTAGCCTTCCTCCCCAAACTCCACCGTGATCAAGGCATGAAGTATGGCTTGTGGTAGACACTCTAGTCACCATTGGAGACATTCTGGAATCCTACCCTTTTCCATTTCCTCTGGGCCACCTTATTCTCTGCTCCATTTTGGATCCAATACTCAAGTGAAACCCATGGAAGAAGAAACAGTTCTGGGCGACAGTCAAACTGGGCATGCCCAGTGTCTGACCAGGTTTCGGTGGGGCCTGGGACGCTTGTGTGCTCCCGCCCCCGGGTAGAGCCCAAGTGCGAGAAGTGCTGGGCCGCCACGGAAGCTGGACCCGACTGCTAGAGCAGTCTGCCCAGACGGACTAAGCGCCGCCTGCCCCCTGCAGCCTGTGCTGCAGCTGCTGGCCACCGGAGGGGGCGAAAAAAACGTCAACCTGTTGTTTGTCCCGTCACCATTTATCAACTCTTAGCACCACAAGGAAGTGCAGCACCCACACGCGCTCCGAAAGTTCAGCATGCAGGAAGTTTGGGGAGAGCTAGGCGATTAGCTCAGCGTCCTGGGCCATCGCTGGGCGAGCGCAGGCAGCGAGAGCGCGGCGCGGCGTCGGTCCCGGGAGCGGAACCTGGCTTTTTCTTGGAGCGACGCTGTCCCTAGGTCGCTGATCCCAATGCACCGCCTCATCCTCGTCTACGTTCTAGCCTACGTAAACTTTTACTGCTTTTGGGACACTTCTGCAACTCCGCAGAGCGCATCCATCAAAGCTTTGCGCAACGCCAACCTCAGACGAGATGGTAAGAGACTCAGATTTCAGTTTTAAAAAACATACGTTTGTTGTTGTTACTGTTATTTCTTATTGTTGCTTCTTCCCCCCCGTCTTGTTTTTGTTTTTCCTTTCATATGGAACCAGCCTGAATGCATTGTCCAAGAAGAAGGGTCTCATGCCGGTCCTCAGTTCTGAGTCCCTTCTTCTGTAATGAGACTGGGGGATCTGGGGATAGGACGGGTCAGGTGGCTCATCTTGTTGCACCTCAGAGAAGTCATTTTCGTGCCCAGTAGTCTCTGATTACAGGCACTAGGTGCTTCATCTCAGAGTTGCAGAAAGTTTTTTGCTGCGCCGCCCCTCGGTCATGCCCTTAATCTCTTGGATTTGAAACTCCAGAAAAGACATTTGTAATAGGTAGAGGGACTCAAAAGTGGCTTTGTCTGGGTGATTTGTTTTAATTCAGTTTTTTTGGTGGGGAAGAGGGAATGATGTGTTTCAGTCCCCCAGCGGTATCTGGGTTAGAGAGACAACGTATATATTATTTATTTGGAGGAGATGGCGGTGTGCAGGATTTGACTCTTTCCGGCCCCAAAGTAACTTTCCCACTGGAATTCATGGCTCAGAAACTCAGAGTCTAGGAAACTGGGCTTCTGGAGTTTTGTCTGTACCACAGGGGAAACCGACTTCAGCTGTCAGTTTCCTTGCACCGGAGGGTTTCCAACTGTTTGCAAGGAGCAAAGCTATTGAAATAGCTATCCCAAGCCAGATCCCAAGCAGACGTGTTTATTTTCCTTCACTCTGGAGGACACCTGGGTCATTGGGTCCCAGAGATCTAGTGGAGTTTATTTGCTTTCTGGGGCCTCCACCAAATCCTGAAACTGACTTATATATACTTCAAGTCCCAACTATAGCTGATTTTCCCAGTATGTTGCAGCTGTTTCTGCTTTCCACCTGAATTGATCCACAGATTTTGTTTGTTTGTTAATTTTTTTCTTCATCACTATGTTTTCTCCATCCACTTCCTAAAAGTTGTAACACATCTCCCCAAGGAGAATGCCAAGGCATTCTTAACTGCTTGGCTGTTTGGGTTAACAATATTTGACTGTATTACTTGGAAAACTCCTATTAGCCATCTCATTCCCTTATCCGTTTCTTATTTAGTATGTCTTTAATTTGGACTTCACTGAAAAACTGTGGACCATGAAAGAAAAAAATATTTATTATGTTTTCTGATGACAGATTTGTGGGTTTTCAGTGTGCATATGTCTTCTGAAGTGATGTAGGTATATGGAGAGGTACATACCTTGACCAGAAGACTGCCTACATTTATAGAATTATTTTCTCACAGTGCTTTCATGTAAAATATTACAGCAATGTATTTTTACTAACCCTTCATTTTACTTAGATCATACAGATTCCCCCCCCCCCAAAACAGGGAAAAAGGGCTTAGGCTCAAGACCAAACTTTTATTACATTTGTTTCACTCTGTAATGATTCCACCAGAGATTGATCTTCTACACATTTTAACTTTGTTCCTGTTTATACTTTGTATGCCCTTTTAGCTGCATATAGTAAAATGCAATTTATAATTTGTATGACTTCATCACCATAATTTTGTAATCCTTAGCCTCCCAAGTATCAGTTATAAGAAGTCAAGGACAGAAAATGAAAAGTATGTAACCATGGTCCAATAACCCAAGCTTCGGACTAAAAGCAAGTCATGCAGCCTTAAGATGGTATTTTTGTTTGGAAAAGAATATTCTCATTGTATAGTCTTTATTTTTAATATTCTGTACAGCTGTCTAATATGTGGGAATGCTTTGTTAAAATTTGAAAACAACTCTGGATCTCTTATTTCTTCAAATTTTAGCTAAAGTTGTTTTGCAATTACTTTACTAGTATGCGCATGTACGCGCACCCATGCTCACACACACATGCTCACACACACATACAGTTGGATTAGTTCAGATTGCTCAATACATTCCTCAATGTCAATTGGATTTTACAAAGAAGACTGGAAAGAGATAAAAGGTAATGAGTTAGGAAAAATATTTTTATATACAGAGTTGTTAATTTGGGGAATTTTCAAATGGTAGGTCTTCCCTACGTACTATACAGGACATGCATTCTCAGAGCCGGTAGTATTGCCTTCAAGGAAGTGAAAATCGGTTCTTGGAGGTGGTGGAAAAACCTAGGTATTACAATGCTTTTTGGTCCTCCAAAGGACTACATTATGTAAACTGCTTTACAATCTATCTGTGGTATTAACATGTAATGGGGGAGGGGGGTTAAAAAGAAAAAAAGTTTAAAAAGGCTCCTTAAGAAGAAGGAAGCAATGATAATGAAAAAAGAAAAGCTTGAGAAACTTTGCCATTGAGCTTTGGTGAAAGTACAAGAATAAAGAAGCCTTTGAAAAATCCAAGATGTGATCTGGAAAATTTTGATGGCAATAGCTGAGCTGACAGAGAGAAATTAATAACTTGCTCAATTAAACCTTTGTTCTGATTCCAAACATTCTCAACTTGTTCTCCCAAACTCCCTTAATGGTACACTGACTAAGACATTATTTTTGCTTTTTTGACTATCAGATTAAGATAGGAGATAAGTTTAGGGATAGCACAGACATGGAAATATAATCAGAGAAAAGATAGAAGATAAGGGTTTCCAAACACTAATTTAGAGCCTTCAGAAGATCTGGTCCTCAGATTATGAGCAGCAAGTGATCACAACAACAACAAATTAGACATAATCCTTGAGTAGGAATTTTGGAAACCTGTAACTGGTGATGACATTATCTTCATATGTGTATATATTCCACTTATTGGTGCTGGCCATTAGTTGATGAGAGCTGTGCTGCCTAATGTTGGGGTCAATGAAGAAACAACAGAGACTAGCCTCTGGTCCAAGGCATGAGCTATCTTGGATCTGCCCCCTAAAAAAACCTAATCCTCACTGCCATCAAGTCAGTTCAGACTCATGGTGACCCTATGTACTTCAAAGTAGAACTGAGCTCTATAGGGTTTTCAATGGTTGTAATCTTATGGAAGTAGATCACTAGGCATTTCTTCTATGGCACTGCTGAGTAGATTGGTGCTTCCAGCCTTTCACTGGGTAGGCAAGTACAAACCCTTTGCACTACCCAGGGATCCTGCCCAGCCTGAGACAAAGCCTTGTTTTAAATCTAAATAAGATTTAGATTTTGTCTGTGCCTAATAGCTCCAGACAATTGGAATAGCTAAGAAATGAGAAGGAAATTAAATAATATTAGGGTTGCTTAGTCTCTGTGTACCCATTGTAGGAGACTGGTTTGATGCTGGCTTCTGAGCTTTCAATCACAATATGTTCTTCTTCTAAATAGATGTCTGCAGAGCCCTTCCTGGCACCTGTAATATGGCTAAGAGTCACCCAATGGAAAAGAGTGGTTGAACTTGGTCCCTCTGTCTAGAAATAAACTAGGTTCTACACTAATAAGGGTTAAAATATCCTTTTTTAATAACAGTAGAATGTTTACACTTCTTTACATATGTATTGATTATTAGTTTTATTCAAACTGACTTGTTTTTGATACTCCTTCTCAATCTGCCTCTTGGCTCACAGAATATTTTCACTTAGCACTAGCGTCCAGATGCTCTATTTCAGTGCCTGTGCAATAGCACTTCCGGGGTAGTAACTGGCTACAACTAAGTGTTGCTCAGAATGTGGATCAACAATTGTAAAGGTACCAATTAACTGACAGCATCATTTACTTATTTTTAAACCTATCTAGGTAGAACTTCCTGCTTACGAGGTTAAGAATACAGATTCACTCCTCATTGTTTTTTTGTTTTGTTTTATCATTTGTGGTTTTTAGAAAGCACAGGTGTTGTTAGTAAACAATTCTGAATTAAGTTCTGTTTGGTTGTGTTATATGCTGGTACTTGAATCATCTGTTACATTATCATTACCTAGTAACAGGCCTTCAGTTTCAGTAATGGTTAGGACCTAGATTTTAAAGTAGTCAAGTTTGTTTCTTAAATAATGAGGCTTTCTGTTGTTGTTATTGATGACAGCACATTGACTGGTGTAAAGATCAGCACTTAAAGGGAAGACAAGAAAGAACACAATATAAACAAATTATGTTTAAACTGTCTGAAAGCTAAGAATCAGATTCATGTCTAACTCTTACATTCTGTGCTGTATTATCTGTTTAACTCCAAGGGTATTAAAGCCTTGTAATCTTTGGAGCATAATGGTGATTACATATTTTAAATGCATTGTGGCTTACATTTACCACAGTGGATTATATTATTTAATAATGGTTCTTTTAAAGAGGCAGGCTTAGCTAGGTTTCTGCATACTTTGTAGTAGAAGATGCCACTAGGTTATAAGTTACAGTAATGGTCATTGTAAGTTTATTAAATAAAATTTATATTAGCTACAAGATTTCTCTTCATCAGATGAAAGGAAAACTTTATTGTTTCAGAACAAAAAGGTCACATGATAGATAGACCAAAGCCCGCAGAGTCACGGATCTCAATGACTGGTAAGAGTGCTGTCCTACATGACTCTGGGCATATGTGGCCTCAGACTCTTGTCATTCTGAGATACTGAGAAGAATATGTGTTTTTGTATCTGTCCTTGGAGCTGAGTCATAGTGCAAATCATCATCCTTCTGGAACTTACTCTTCAACTTTCTTTGCTGAAATGTTCCAACTGGTATACAAAAGCATTTCTTGAACACCTTAATAAAATTATTTCTTTAATTAAAATAGGAAATTCCTTTAGATGAATGAGATGTGGGGTGTTTCTAACTCATATATGGCATGTGATTTAGATAATATATTGGCCTTTTACAAAAGATCACAAGGGCTTTAGTACAGAACTTCACGTCTGAGTGGTTGTTGGTGGCTGCTATTGAGTCGTTTCCGACTCATAATGTCTCCATGTGATGGAGTAGAAGTGTCCCATATGATTTGACTGCTAACCAGAAGGCTGGTGATTCTTCCTTGGAAGGAAGGTTGGGCAATCTACTTCCGTAGTGATACCACC